CATAAAAGCAAACCGTTGAAAATTGTTGATTTTTTCCCATACAAAATACATGGAAAACTTTGAACGCTTTGAGCGACCTCTACATATTTTTTAATTTCAAAATAAAAAAATAAGGGTATACTTTTTTCGATATAGAAAAATCCATGAATTTTTTGACCACCCTAATGTACATATGCCACCAGAACAATCTTGAACGCTGGCTACTGTGTATGAACAACGTTTTATTTAGGCATGTTTGTAAAATAGTTCAAAGCTATACATACATACACATGATTAAAAATTTGTGAAGTGGGCCACCATTTTTTCTAGGGTCGAGCTTTTCTTGTGCAATTATCTGTTTATGCTTCACAACGATAAAAGAAAATTAATCGATTTCTCTTCTCATTCTTATCATTTATGTACACATTTGTCTATATCTATCTCGATTCGGTTTGCCTGTTACAAACAACCGTTATGTGAACAATGTTATAATACCCTTGTGCACAAGGGCAAATTTATGGCCAAATAAAAAACGAAAACACCATCATTCTCAACCGTTTAAAATATGAGCAGAATCGGTATTACCAATCGCGATAAAACAATTGAAATCTAAACAATTTCGCAAAATATTAATAGCTATTACTTCCAAAATAATTCGAATTTCGAAAAATTGTGAAATTTGTATTTTTCTTTTATCGTTGTGAAGCATAAACAGATAATTGCACAAAAAAGCTCGACCCTCGAAAAAATGGTGGCCCACTTCACAAATTTTTACTCATATGTTTGAAATAATTACATAAAATATTTATGAATGTAAGTGTAGTCAATTATTAAAATAAGTACTTCGTTATTATGACAAAGCTTTTATCAACTTGCAATGTTGTATGTCCAGACCACCATTTATACTATAAATATAGCAAAGGTATTTATGTCAAAGTTTCTATACAACCTAGTCTTGATATCAACCTCGGCGGTAGGTATCACATCAAAACTGTAGAGGTAGATGTAGTTATATATTGCGCATAAAAATATGAACTACATACGCTACAGCGGAAATGGAGGACACGCCATTTCTTTAAATGAAATTAAATTATGTATGTACATACATATATTTATGTGCATCAGTCTTTTAATATCGATGAATTATTTTAATATCTATTGCAAAATTTTATACAGACAAGACCAAAAAGTATAAAATAAATAAAATAAAAAAATAACTTTTTAATATACCACGCTTTTATAAATGGACTAAATTTTAGAAAAAAATATTTCTCAGTCCCGTAGAATATGTTTTGATAATTTTTGATTTTGAAATTTCAGCAAAAGTCATAACAAACAATTTATGAGATTGAAAATGAAAAGCATGGTGCGCATGCAAGGCATATTCAACAAGGTAGAAGTGACAATTCAGTCGAGCTCTCTCATAGCTGACTGTAATGTCAAAAAATGTAAACCAAGAAATTAACCCTTTGTTATGCATTTACCATATTTGATAAAACTCAACGGCCCATAACTATAGTCAAAATAAAGTCGACTCCTAAAGTTAAAAGCAGCTTTTTGACATAACTTTCAATGGGATATCTGTCAAAAAAAGCGGCTTTTAACTTAAGAGTCGACTTTATTTTGACTATAACTGCGAGCCAATATCTTTGAAATGAAAGTTTTTGTAGATATGAAAATTTTTTAAATCTCATTAGAATCAGCTGCATTTTAGGTATTGTCTTTTCGTTTTAATGTAAATGTGGAAATGCATACTTACACAAAATTACACACTAAGTGAAACACTCATTTATAAACCCATTTTAGCAATTTTCTTGCGTTTACTAGCCCAATGTTTTTAAGCATTTATTTTTTTAACTCAAATACTTAATTCTAAAGTATAATAGACATTTAAAAAAAGGTTTGATTATTCTAAATTTACATCAGAACTTAACTTCAATAATTCAGCTATTAAGTTTTTGCAATTCGAAATTTCCTTTCCATTTAATTTATTAAAAGTTAATTTCAATTTCTCTATGTCAACAAGGAATTCCGGTTTAGGTTTTGTTAGACCACCATTTGAAATTTGGTCTATCCATGTATATGAGTGGAAGATTTTCTCTTCATATTCGGTATAATAATTCCTGCACCTGGGAACAAACGCGTCCGCTTAGAAATACCCGGCGGCGATGGGCAACAAATAAAGTCACTGGCACTAAAATGGTCTTCGCGCACACGTGAAGAGTCTCCTAATGAAGCATTGATACTTCGGAGTTTTAAAATAAGTTTGTTGTCCTGGCTCTTGTCAAACACAACATACCGCCCGTAATTCCTTTTCATTTTATTATGTATTTAAAATCAGTCGCACAGCTCACAATTGAAAATTTATATTAAAAAAATTCAAATTTTGAATAGTATAGGGTTAAGAGTTGACATTTTAGTCGCAGTTCAAAAGAGAGAAATGTCGAAATCACTTCTACCTTGTTATGCCTTGGGTGCATGTAACAGACTTGAATAGATATGAAAAGTAAAAGTAACATATGTATGTATTTACATATGGGGGTATATGAATAACGATCGCTTAAAATCGATCTCAAATTTTGTACTTGCGCTGTAGAAATTTTAGGTCTATGTTATGTAGTTTGACTATTGTCAATTAGTTCTAATTCTTTGTATTGCATGCGCTACACGTTTTTCGTTTTCAATCTCATAAATTGTTTATAATGACTTTTGCTAAAATTTCAAAATCAAAAGTTATCAAAACGAATTCTATGGGACCGAGAAATACTATTTTTATTTAAAAGCTTTTTTATGTTATCTATTTTTAAATATTATCAAGCAGTGGAATTCAACACTATTAATCAAATTTGTTTCTTCTTGTTACTTTTAAAATATTTTGCTATGCAAACGTATGTACACATGTGTACAAAAATGTTTAAATGCAAATTCATATTTTCGAAACCACAATTCATTGATGTCACTGCACTGAAAAATCGCAACCAACACCGATTTTTTATTAAACTGACAACTTGGTAATCAAATACTCGTAAAAGGAGTTACAAGGTAATACAGTAGACGCCACGGATATTTTAAAGCTCGCACCGTCTTGGAGCAATGTGGCAATAAAGTCCCCAACACAACACCGAATAGTTGTCTCTTCGTCTTCCTCATCTGCTGGAGGCGGTAGTGCATGTAGTGCTAGTGGTATGGTAGGAAACGTTGGTATTTCCGGTCGTGCTTTTGACGGTGGACGACCCAGAGTGAGTGGCATTACTACAACGTCGACCTCATCAAAAAAAAATANATTTAAAAAAAGGTTTGATTATTCTAAATTTACATCAGAACTTAACTTCAATAATTCAGCTATTAAGTTTTTGCAATTCGAAATTTCCTTTCCATTTAATTTATTAAAAGTTAATTTCAATTTCTCTATGTCAACAAGGAATTCCGGTTTAGGTTTTGTTAGACCACCATTTGAAATTTGGTCTATCCATGTATATGAGTGGAAGAATTTCTCTTCATATTCGGTATAATAATTCCTGCACCTGGGAACAAACGCGTCCGCTTAGAAATACCCGGCGGCGATGGGCAACAAATAAAGTCACTGGCACTAAAATGGTCTTCGCGCACACGTGAAGAGTCTCCTAATGAAGCATTGATACTTCGGAGTTTTAAAATAAGTTTGTTGTCCTGGCTCTTGTCAAACACAACATACCGCCCGTAATTCCTTTTCATTTTATTATGTATTTAAAATCAGTCGCACAGCTCACAATTGAAAATTTATATTAAAAAAATTCAAATTTTGAATAGTATAGGGTTAAGAGTTGACATTTTAGTCGCAGTTCAAAAGAGAGAAATGTCGAAATCACTTCTACCTTGTTATGCCTTGGGTGCATGTAACAGACTTGAATAGATATGAAAAGTAAAAGTAACATATGTATGTATTTACATATGGGGGTATATGAATAACGATCGCTTAAAATCGATCTCAAATTTTGTACTTGCGCTGTAGAAATTTTAGGTCTATGTTATGTAGTTTGACTATTGTCAATTAGTTCTAATTCTTTGTATTGCATGCGCTACACGTTTTTCGTTTTCAATCTCATAAATTGTTTATAATGACTTTTGCTAAAATTTCAAAATCAAAAGTTATCAAAACGAATTCTATGGGACCGAGAAATACTATTTTTATTTAAAAGCTTTTTTATGTTATCTATTTTTAAATATTATCAAGCAGTGGAATTCAACACTATTAATCAAATTTGTTTCTTCTTGTTACTTTTAAAATATTTTGCTATGCAAACGTATGTACACATGTGTACAAAAATGTTTAAATGCAAATTCATATTTTCGAAACCACAATTCATTGATGTCACTGCACTGAAAAATCGCAACCAACACCGATTTTTTATTAAACTGACAACTTGGTAATCAAATACTCGTAAAAGGAGTTACAAGGTAATACAGTAGACGCCACGGATATTTTAAAGCTCGCACCGTCTTGGAGCAATGTGGCAATAAAGTCCCCAACACAACACCGAATAGTTGTCTCTTCGTCTTCCTCATCTGCTGGAGGCGGTAGTGCATGTAGTGCTAGTGGTATGGTAGGAAACGTTGGTATTTCCGGTCGTGCTTTTGACGGTGGACGACCCAGAGTGAGTGGCATTACTACAACGTCGACCTCATCAAAAAAAAATATCGATAATGCGAAAGATTCGGCATCAGCGGATGCGGGTGCAGGCACGGCTAGAAGCGGCGGCACGGCCACAGTAAGCACAGATGACGAAGCCAAAGGTATGTACCATTTAAGTGATTTATTCAATCATATACAAATGTAAATATATAAAAAAGACATGCCAGGATCCCTAAAGTAATTTAGGCAATGTTAAATTGGAGCACTTGCGAAACTAAGCGACGAAGGTGCGCAGGTAGAAAGTATTTTTTTTTTTAAGAAAATATATCCTCTTTTTACCTGATAACCTCATTTATCTTGCATAGATTGGGGCCTTTTAAATAAAAGGCAGCCCCACGTGGAGCCAAAATGGTAATTTGTTCTCCGAAACGGTCCCATCGTCATAAGGGAAATAAATACTCCAAATGAAACCGAATTTATCCATCTGGCAGCACTGGTCCTTCGAGCCAGCTTTTTACACCAAGTGGAGACATGCCCTTCTACATTTGGTCTGTACACATGGTCACAAGAGTGCCGAGTCCAGGGATCTTCTTACCGCAGCGTTAATGGGAAAACACGCGATTGTCTACGTGACACATTGTGTCACACTTTTTCACGCGCGAACGTGAACGGGTTTGAAAGAAAATCACGTGACCTACGTGATCGTGCGTGACTAAAATTTTAGCTGACGTAAACGTGCGTGAGTTAGATTTTATCGTCAATCACGTCAATTTCACATACTGTTTAGATTTAACTAAAGTTTGAGTGGCAACATTATTTACCCGGGGCTTCGACATTCTGTAATTCATTTATGTGTAAACATCTTTGCTCTCGGTATGGATAAAATTGGCTAGGATGTAACGGACATCCCAGCAGAAAATTTCGAAGGGTCAGCATCAGAAAATTTTTAATTTCATTAGAAGAGCGCTGTTTTTACTTGCTACTGCAAATGGTTGTAATATTAGTTGCATATTTTCTGGCAACACCAGCTTGTATGAATTCGCCTTGAGGTGGTGTTACGGAAGCAGCTGAGATTTTTGCCTCGGTGATTCTTCATGTCAAAATGATGTGTTTGTTTTAATTCATACTGTCATTGTGCATATACTTTGTTAGTGTTACTTTATTTTGTTTTATGTTTCCATACTAATCACTAGGGCTTGGAATCTCATGCACTCAAAATTCAAAATTATGCGCTACAAACAAGAAAAATATGGTATTAGAAATATTTTTCTAATATTTTGTTGCCGGTACAAAAATAAATAACACATGTATTTCAACAATTCACTTCAAAATACAATACATATTTATAAGTGTTGGGAAGTATCGAGTACTTTTGAGGATCGAGTTCTTTAGTATCGATACTTTTAGGGATCGGGTATTTTTCAGAGTACTGAGTACTTTCTTTAAATATACATATGTTGGTAACATTTCAATTCTTAGTGTAGAAATCTCACAAGCTGGCAGTACTTTATTCAAATTAATATATGAATCCTAAATTACGTCAAATGAATGGCTAACTTTACTGGGTACAAGTATTGTACTTCAAAATTATTGAAACTGCAAATTGAGTACGATCATTTCTGAATACCGTTAAATGTAAATAAAACTCAGTACTTTTTAAGTCTATTCGACACTTAATACTGAGTACTTTGAATCGATCCTGAGTAAGTGTATCAAAGCGATTATTGGAACAGAGTATTTTTGAGTACTGAGTACTTTCTAGTTCTTTTAAGTTCTGAGCTCCTTTCGAGCTCCTTTTTTGAGTACTGAGTACTTTCGAGTTCTTTTGTGAGTACTGAGTTCTTTGGAGTATTCAGTATCGATACTTTCAAAAATCGGGTGCTGTCGATCCTTTCGAGAATCGAGTTCTGAGTACTTTTGGTATCGATATTGTCCAACACCAATATTTATATATAAAATTAGTTTATGATCAAGCAGACAGTTACAGTCCTGTGTATATATAAACACTGAAAGTTTAGTAGTGGTTCAGATGAATGTTTGGTTAGTGTAAGTGGATTGGCACTAGGGTGATTGATTCGGTTTTTCCAAACCGGTTTCCCCCGGGTTTTTTTTTTTAATATCTATAAGTGGTAACTGCGGCATAACTGCCAAAAAGGCGTAAACGGCCAAAAGTAAATCTTTCAGTAGGCGTTTTTTTTCTTATTAACACTGCACTTACTGTAGATACTAACGTGAAGGTTAATGAACAAGTTAAGATTGATGTTAGGTATAATATACTGGTGGTTTTATTTGCCCATCTGTAATGAAATAGGTGATTTTGGTGCTACGCCCTTTTTGCCGTCACAGAAAAAAGCAACAGCACGCGATTGCGGCGGTTAAGCCGAAAGAGATACATATAAAACAACACACATTTTTTTGCAGTAACAAAAACTATTTGATGTCGTTAACTCATTTCTTTTGTTTTTGTTATTAAGAAAACAATTCTTCAACACAAAGACATACGTTGTTTATTAAAATACTATTCCGATATAAGAACTAATGGCGATTTCGTATATGTATAAAGTTAGCGAAACAACATGAAGAAAAAAACGTCGCGTATACCCATGAATTTGGCGTTTTTTTTGCCGTTAATTAGTTGTGGAAAAAATAATTTTGTCGCTCTTGTATTTTTTTAGATATAAGGTGTTTTGCTAACTTTATACAAAGTTAGCGAAGCACCCCTCCAACGAACTCAAAGACAACACACTAGTCTTTATGTCCAAATTTGCCGTTTTTTTGCCGTTCCAAGATGAGCTAGTTTACTTTTGAAAAAAATATTTTAATTTTTTTTGCAATATTTTTTTTTCATTGTTCAATAATTTTTAGAAGAAAAAAATTATAATAAAATTGCTTTATGTACCACTTTGAAATTTAAACAAACAATAATCACCATGGTTAAAATTCAAAGAATTAAGAAGCTTCCTTATCACAAATAAACGACAAAATCAAAAACGGTTTTAGTGCACAAAACAAGCCAAACGGCAAATTATGTCACAAAAAATTAATGGTTTTTATTATTTTTAACCAATTTTTAAACCGCTTTCCAATTCCCTAATTTTTTTATTTAATAAGGCTGTTTAAACAAAAAAAAAAATAAACGACAAAATCAGAAACAGTTTTAATGCGCAGAAAAGCTCAATGGCAAATTATTCAACAAAAAAATTAATTGTTTTTATTATTCTTAACCAATTTTTAAACAGCTTTCCAAGTCCTTATTTTTTTATATAAGTATGTTTAAACAAAAAAGAATTAAACGACAAAATCGAAAACAGTTGTAGTACACAATGGAAGCCAAACGGCAAATTATGCAACAAAAAAATATGTAATTGCTTTTATTATTTTTATTAAATTTTTTAACCCCTCTCCAAGTCCTTATTTTTGTTTTTAATAAGGCGGTTTAAACAAAAAAAAAAATAAACGACAAAATCACTGGTTTTGATGTTTAAAGAGCCTTATTCAAAAAAAAGGGACTTGTTTTGTGCATTAAAACGGCTTCATTTTGTCGTTTAATTATTAATTTTTGTTTAAACAGCCTTATTAAATAAAAAAAATTTGGGACTTGGAAAGCGGTTTAAAAATTTCTTAAAAATAATAAAAAGAATTTTTAGAAATTTGGCTTGTTTTGTGCACTAAAACTGTTTTTGATTTTGTCGTTTAATTGTGATTAGGAAGCTTCTTAATTTTTAGAATTTTAACCATGCACATAGGGGTATTTGACCGATTTAGGCGGCCAAAATTATTTTTATGAACATTTTAACTCAAAATGTTTAGAAACGAAGTGTTACAATATTTAAAACTGCAAATGTTTAAAATCAAGTAAATAGAGTGGGAGGATGTCCAAGTCTTCGACCAAAACAACGAAAATAAAGTTGCTTGAAGTTTGACATCGATAGACTCCATGGTATCGAGGTCCGATTGTGGAAACATTGATACCTACGTATTCATATCACCGCGGAGAAGGTTTATATTTAGGTTAGAACATCAAAAGAGTTGCCACCTGCTAAAAGATCAAATGCAATTAAGTTAAATGATTACTACAATATGGGTATCAATATGGGTATCAATCGAATTAGGTAACTGAAATATTTTGTTAACAATATTGGTGTCACACTGAAAAGTTTAATAAGGTTATAGTTTGAAACTATTTTTAACAGGGCTGCCACTTGCTTACAAATTAAATCCAATGTATATGAAAGGTTAAATTAATTTTAACAATATGCATATGCAACATGAGATGGTTTGCCACCTGGCAAAAAATTTAATTCAATTAATTTCAATGAATTACTACGCTAAGGGTATCATCCAAAGCGGCTTTGAATTCAGGCGGCTCAATTTTCAATCACATTTAGCAGGCGTGCTACCTGTTTAAAAAAGCAACTTAAATCAAAATAAAAAATGATTAAAAAACACTATACGGAGCAACCATTATGTTGAATTTTATTGAAATAATTTGAATCTTATCTAACACGCAAAAATTTCATACAGTTATCGAACTAACTAAAGATATAGTAGTTTGTTTTATTTGAGATGTCTTTTAACTTTCATTTTTTAGTGAATCTTTTGTGCCTTCTTAGAATTAATAATTATAAATAA